CGCCCGCCGCGTCGCTAGCGCGCCCGGGTGAGTACGCGGCCTGGCTGTGCAAGGAGGCACACAAATTGACGAAGACGCGATTGTTTGTAGCCACGTGGCTGTCCGGCAGACGCCCTGGGCTAGGCACGGGTGCCAACGTTTCGCCCACCATTCTGCGACCTTCCTCAGGGCGAAATGCATTGCGAATGGTGGACGAAACGTTAGCATCGGTGCCTAGGACATGGCGTTTTCCGGACAGCCAAGTAGTTACCGACTCCGGGCTCGGAAGCCTATGTTATCAGGGGTTCGTTTGTTTCATATGTTGCCTTAGCGTCGTGACGGTTCATTACTAAGGGTGTTAAATAGCGTATAAATTTGCAACAGTGACTGTGCAATGTTGCCTGTTTAATATTAATCTTCTCTCTCAATCTACCAAGGACAAAAATGTTCAATTGTGGGCGTGAGGTGTTCTCGCGATTCCTCTGCCTAGTTCTGCCTTTGTGAGTTTGTGCGGTGTAATGAAGTAATGTACTCAAGTAATTTATGGTTACGACATTGCTAGGAATAATCCATAGAACAATTCCCTAGGTATTTCTCTGTAGACCCGAACTTGCGTACGAAACCAAAAATTGCTCTAGCGTACGAACTTTATTTCTGTTTTCTTTTCTGCATCAAAGTCGAATCAAGAATATACGAAGGAAGTGTTGTGATCACAATAAGTAGAGTTCTCTCTAACGAACATTTTTGACGGTTTTGAGAATTATTTGGACAAGATAAACTTTTTCAAATCATACCACTTGGGGAGAAGTAGTGATTACCTGCTTCCTCCGGCAATCATAATACAGAACTTCATATTATTTATGTATATATTTATTAATTTGCTTGTTTGATTTTCGTCTTTGAAATTGAGACTATAACGCTGTTGATAGTAGTTATGATCATTGAGAAGGTTACAGGTAAGTTGTGTTCTGAACAGCACGTGGGTGTGCACAACTGACGGCGTGGCTTTCCTTCCACAGATGGCGTGGGCGCTGCTCCACCCTCCGCCAGCCTGTCGGCCGCGTCGTCCGGGGGCGGTGGCCCGCGCCGCGCCCTCGCGTCGCCCACTCTGCGCCGGGGGCGCCCTCGGGGGGGGGCGGGGGGGCAGTCAGCCTGGGTACGCCCCGGCGCCCGCCTCGTCCGCCGCCACGGCACCACAGCTCATCCGTACAAGGGTGAGTGTTGCAGGACGGTACGTCTTGCTATTACAATATTACTCGATCCCATTGTCGTGATTAGCTTCACTTGTGGGGCCTCAAATTTAATGAGCTATCACCGTCTTGGAGAGTCTTTGCCTACCATGGATTTTACCGCCTTATATATTATTATTATTATTATTTATATTATTATTATTATTCCTAATGGTTGTCATAATATTTTAGTATGACAATTGGTTTCCAGCAAAATTATAGACAATCAAATACCTTAAAATATTTACATTAAATAAACAATTTATAGTAGAAAACCCCGTGTAGAGTTTAAAATGGAATTAAAATTAACCCTTCAATTCGAACATATTGGAACACACATCGAATATAGCAAGCCTCCCGCTAATCGTAAGCGTTAATATTTCGGTGGAAATGTACCTCAACTTGTTACGTTTCCAAGCCCTTCATAAATATGAACAAGGCGTGCATTGTAACAAGATCAGCCACACTTTCACCAAAATCGAGATATTAATGTTTTTCGAATGGAGGCAGTCTAGCCGTGACAGCTAGGGGCTGTGTTCTTACTTCTCCCAAGCCCTTCAATTAAAACTTGATTCGTTCACAAAAACGAGACGAGTCAATGTATTCGAAGCATAGTCGCTCTCGATAGACTGGTATGGCGCGAGTTGTCTCTTCGATCCTACTTGAGCGGCGTTTTATAATGGATGTTGAAGGTTGGATTCTCTTTTTACTTTCAATAGAATCGATTTGTGCCGACCTGGAGGGCCGAGGTGTCTAAGAGCACTGACTCAGCGGTTCAGCCCGAAAGGTCGCGGGATCGAGTCGCACCTCGGGAAATGTTGTTTGTTCCTTGTCTCTCATTTGTTGCCGCGTAGGGATCACAAAAAACTACGCTAGTTTTCAGTAGAAGACTTAAGCTTCTTTGAACTTCAGCGCAGCGTGCGTTCGGTTCTTGGGTGGCATGTTGCCCGCGGGTAAATAGACGTCATCTCCTGTTGTACATTATTCAGCAGATTAATCTTCTAGGAATCAAGAAGTGTTGCAGCACAAGTTAATTGTATTGATAAGCTCGACAAAATGACTTGATTTAAATGTTAAAAATTGGAGCCAGAAAAGCGACGACTCATTGTCCGCAGCTTGTGCTATGCCACAAGGCACTGAGTTGAAATTTATAAGAATTGAGGCCAGAGAAAAAAGTCCTCCCTTGTTAAAGGCGCAGTGCCCTAAAGACGCTACAATAGTGTTTGGCAGGAAGCCTAGCCTAGTCGTTCTGCAGAAACAATTCATAATCAAAATGTTAAAGGAACTGTACATCTTCGAGAAAAATTCATGCAATTGATTTGCCATATAGTTGAACGCGTTAGTGGAAAGTTCATGCTGATGAGAATATTCTGTTTTTTTACCCTTAAAGCTGGCTCTACAGTAATATATTATCAAAAATATTATAATTATTATAGTGCAGAATCTGTAGATTCCACCCTTATTGCTGCCTTCTAAATCGGCTCTTAATGTAAACGACTCTCAGGTTTTGACAAGTTTGTAAACAATTCTTGACGTCAGGTTTGTGGTGTTAAATTTTTCTTTCCGCAGTTTCGAAAATTTTTGATCAATTTCTAATCGTGGTGACACTTTTTCATCGCTGAATATTATGCAATTAGGAACTTTTACACTCCCAAGATATTTTCATTTTATTGGCTTTGTATTTCTTTCTTTCTCTTTTTCTTTCTGTCTCTTTATTTCTTTCTGTCTCTTTATTTCTTTCTCTTTCTTTTTCTTTATCTCTTTTTCTTTCTTTTTTCTTTTGGTTTCTCTTTCTTTCTTTCTTTCTTTGTTTCTTTTTCTTTCTTTGTTTCTTTTTCTTTCTTTCTTTCTTTCTTTGAAACGTTTATTTTTGTCCTATTTATTAATGTCTGATTCATTTTATTTAGGAACTCAGCACAATAGTTGTTTAATTGAAAATTGCGTGAAATTTGCTCTGTCTAGTTTGTTGCCATGTGTAGTGTTTCTAGGGAGTCTTTAATACTGTCAACGTGAAAACACTTTCCAAGACCGATATTTTCTTAAAATTCTAAAATAGCATTTGGATTAAATGACACAGAATACTTATTTGCGAACACATTCTTCTGTCAGAAGGTTCACATAATGTTCCTTAATGTCCATTTAATGTAACCGTATTGGCTATTAAATAATGAAGATTGATGCAGGTGTGAGCAATGACGAATAATAATTTTAGAATTCAGTTTAATAATTTTAAGAAGTAATGTCATGATAAAATAGGTTTACAATATCTTTGTTTGTTTCTTGCGAGAACTTCTTGTTCAACAGAAATAAAAAAAACATTTAAACGCCTTACGCTGTAGAAATGACTTCTTCTGTAGGTGGATAAGTTTCACGGTTGAAACTTTTACTTTTGCCTTGCTTACTCTTCGGAGCGTTCCATGTTGACCTAAATGATACGAGTACTTGAGTTGATATGCAAAAGCACGTGAGCAAATGAAAATGTTACTTTGAAATGGTACTTTCATTCAATGTATGGAACACTGATCATCCTTTATTTCAAGGTAACTGCTCTTATGAATTTCTCAGTATATCCAACGCAGTGTGAACTTTTTCACTATCCTTGTGCTCACGACGTTCCACAATTCTAACCACGACGAGCACATTTGAAAAGTGCTGTTTTTTCACCTGAAAACTTCAAGCCGCTCGTTACAGTAGTGGCGAACTTTCTTGTGTGACAAAATGCCGTAAGATTCGGATCGCTTAGAAGTACGAGACATATAATGCTCAAACATAGGTTTCATCTATAACTATTATATATGTTTTTACGTGTGTATTGGTCCGGATATGGTTTACCTGTGACGTCAGAGCACGTGTGTAGGCATATGCAAATGTTAATCACGAATTAGCGGAGTTGTGCGGAAATTTCCATTATTGTAGAGCGAGAGTTGACCTAGCTGCTAGGGCTTTAATTCTAGTGATGTCGTGTAGAGCTCGTGAAACATTGTTAAAGTGAAGCAATTAAGAAAATCCCTGAAATAAAAGAGAAAATTTATATTGAGTTGAAATTAATTTTAAAAGTTCAAAGAAACACCCTTTTTTATTGAAATGCGTGTCACCAATGACGACTTTTCATTGCAGCAGTTTCTAATGAATCGCTCCCTAT